AATTTAACACTTAGATTTCACTTATTTGTCCACCATCCTAAGTGTGTAAGTACACTCTTACAAAAAAAAAATTCTTAACTCTGTTATCTACAGATTTTTCAGTTACCCATCATAATAAACGCACAACTTAAAGGATGAGAACTCATTTTAAAACTAATGTTAGGATACAAACGAATAAAAATCAATACTTATATATGATTCAGGTTTTTAAATCTGGTAAATAGAGACTAGCACTGGAGTGCCGAGGGCTAAGCCACTGCCGGTGATGCCAGCTCCTCACCGAGTCCCAGCTGCTCCACTTCTGATGCAGCTTCCTGCTAACACACCTGACAAAGCAGCACAAGATGACGGCCTAGGGGGCTTGGGCTCCTGCCACCCTCATGGGAGACCCATCCAATGGGCCAGAGTTCTGGCTCCTGGCCAGCATGGCCACTTGAGAACCAAATCAGAGGATGGAAAATTTGTCTCGCTTTGCTCTCTCTGTAACTGCTTCAAATAAAACAAATAGATTTGTGCAGCAAGCAATTTAGAGTAACACAGATGAAATTCAAGCTACCAGACTTGACAGGAGAAATTATGCAGCTACTTTGAGATATAGTAGCCTATCAATTATCCCTAAATATTAGCCAAATCTGAAATATATATTACACCATCTCCAACAGTATCCTGTAATTACTGAGTTTAGTGTAAAGAAAAACCAAAAGTTAAAAATTTATTCCAATTCAGGGACTGTACTACAAGTGCCCTTTAAATATTGCCAATTATTAACACTTCTTATTAAAAAAATCTTCTCTTCTCATTAGTATGGAGTTACTTAAGAGACTCTTATTCAGGGTAAATTTCACTAGACAGACCTGCTTGTGTAAAGCCTCTTCTTCCTCATACTTTAGTTAGAGATGCAATCAAGAAGTAAACAGCATCTCTTCAGAAAAGGCAATCCATACTGGTCCTCAAAGAACCGAACAGGAATGAGTCTACTGTCCCTCAGCAGCGACCACCTTTCCTATTCCCACTGCGACCATGATCCACCTCACCCACGTGTTTATTTTCCTGGCCTGGCTATCCACTTCCAACTCTTCCCTGAATCCTCTCATACTGTTGGAACAGCTATGCCTTTACTCACAGATTCACTGGGTCTGTCATCTGCCTGGTGGGGCTGAGCATGTCTGCTTCCAGTTTTTTCTGGTTGCAGAAAAACAGACTCCATTCCAAATCAGCAAGAATCCATATATCCAGTATCTATCTCCCAATTTTCAAATCAATGTTATCAGAATTCTGTATTCTATTTACTCACAGGAAGGACAGAACATAAACACTTGTACTACCAGTCCCGTACTGTAAAGCAAGCTTCTCACAGGTAAGACACAGGCCAAGATCTGTTTTCCTCCCTGCCCCTCCTCTCCTTACATTTTCTGAAATATTAACCAATGTTTGTCCTGAACCATTTACCTCACATAAATTTTTAAACAATGTACATCCCAGTGAACATGAAAGGACACATGCCTCCTGACACAGCCCTTCGTTTCAGGATTTTCAGGTACTTTGGGAAATCGTCAGCTTGTTTAAAAATCTGTAATTTCCTTAAGGATAAATTGTATTTACTAAATTATATTTTAATAATCATGAATGCACCAATATTGTTATACTAAAGAATGTCTTACGTAGTTAGGACTTTTACACTGATTACTAACTTCTGGGTAAAAATACCTTTGGAGAAGCCTAACAGGGTATCAGATGGATGATTTCCACACCAACTGTCAAGCTTTAAGCAAAATTGCCTCCAAAATTCAGTAAAGATACGTAAAGCTTCCAAGAAACACAGTTCAAATGAGCAGTAGTTCCCACTTGTTTTTACAAGTAACTGTAGTGAGACACACACAGAGCTCTGTGAGGTACCTACAGGTTTCACAGTAACAAGTGAAAGCTCTATTTTCTAGTATACATTCGTATAATCTTCTCAAGAAAAAACTACAAAAATGCAAAAAAAAAAAAAAAAAAACCACTGTCTCATACCAGACACGTTGCTTGAGAGTCAGAATTTACAATTCGTTATCAGTAGTCAATAGCAAACTACACAAAATCATTAATAAGATACAGAGGTACTTCCACTAAGGGATCCCTAAAAGCAGGTTTCCAACAGTCTTTTGGCTGCAGCTAACCATTCACAATTGCAGCCATTCATGCAAGTTCCTGGAATGCAGCCCACAGAGTTCACACCGGTCAGCTATCTATGGAAAGCAAGCTGTACTGTGTCCCTTTTAGGGCCAGTAATATTTTGTACCCTGCCTATCTACATAAAGGGGGAGGCTGTTAAACGTGTAGTTTAAACAAATCCTGTAACATTCAGTGCAAAGTGAGCAAGTTTTTATGAACTCTATTTTCAAGTACGATTAGACCCACCAGATTACATACGCTTGTCACTGGTACACATAAATCATTCTACTGAGAATGCCTCGATAGAAACTCATGCACTTTACAGTAATTACTAAGCTGTGGCAATGCTAACAGGGAACTTCTTTGCATACAAAACCATCAACTCTTTTATAACAGAATTACATATGTATTAAGCTAAGCCCTGGCTCTTTAAAATTGCAACACAGAGCCTTGTATTAGGTAATGGAACAAATCATGACATAGTTTTCAGTCTAGATTACCCATTTTCCTTTCTTTTCTCTAAGAAACACACCAGATTTACTGAAGTTTCACTTTTTTTTTTTTTTTTTAAAGAAAAGCACTTTTGGTCAAAGGTTTTTAACTCACAGTTACTCAGGACTTTTGCCCTGGATCTATGTTTTATAGAATCCAAAAAAAAATAATCCAAAATCACCGTATCAAGATTTTTCACATTGTATTGTGCCTGCAAAAGTACTCAATTCGTAAATTTTAACATACGTCTACAAAGCTGCATTATTTAATTTTAAGCATAATACTTGAAAAATGCCCTGCCTTTTACAAAAGGCTTTCCATTACAAAATGTTTTTCTACTTAATTGGTTTATTCCTTCACCAGGTGTGTTGGTCCAGTGACAGTCAAATGTGTAAGATTACATCTTGGAAACTACCAGGTTAAATTAATAACCAATGGAAAACTGTAGCAAAATTTAGAAATGCACATCTAAGAAGCAATGCCAATTTTTAAAGACTGGGGTGAGGAAGTGCCATGTTTAAAACTGAGCTGCACAAGCAGCAGAAGCCCTCACTGGGTGGGCTGTGGCCATTGGTAACAACAGGTACGGTATGCCTGTAGCTCAGTCGTATGTTTGACTCGAGATTACCAATCGTCAACACAGTGAGAGGAGTAATCAATGCAACTCTGATGTGCTACCCTAAAGAGTGTGCCTCGGAGTCCCCACCTAGCAACAGTTCTCTGCTTCACACCGCATCATCATCTTAAACTTCTGAGGAATGTAATTACACTTGCTGAAAATGGAGAGGTGTGGAGAGGAGGGAGAATATATTCCTCACCTATAGATGTATTTAAACATAAAAAGGGATGTTGAAAAACCAGTCATTATTTCGTGAATATGGGACGGTTTATAGAAAGAGAGGAAATGATGAAAAGAATAGCTTCTGGCAGATACAAAGGGGACGATGCCCCCTGTTGACTATTATTACAGGTGAGCAAAAACTCAATCTGGTTTTTGATTGTGCCCTGTGTGTGAAAATCGGAGCAACTAGAGAAGAGCTTTTGTGTAGTGGCCTGTAGTATCAGTTCCTTTATTTGGTAGTCCCATCCACACAAAACGTCTAGCTAGCTGGGCTCACTTATGGACACGTGGTAGTCTCTTAAAGAGTTCTCAAAGTGGGACACTCACCACAAGCAAGTCACCTACAAAAAAAGATGAACTTTGAATTACAAAAATCAGAGAAGTTGAATGAATTTCAATGAGCATTTTTTAAAACCAACAGAAGTATATAACAAAAACACAAGGCTAATTAGAAATAAGAAGTTAAGAATATGAAAGAACTCAAGAAACAGAAAAGCCTTTAACATCCCATTGCACTCTACATATTTTAACCTAACTAGCATTTTCTTTAAAAGAAAAATCCCAGGTAATAAATATCTAACCTGTAAAATACCTGAAGCATTCTCTGTAATTTACGAATGTGGTAACTGAGTTTCTAAAAATGTACTTTGTCAAATTTGTACATGACATTTCCTCCAAAACCACTAACAATCCTCATTAAACCACAAGCAAACACCAACTGCTGTAGAATTGGTGTAGAAATACACCCATTTTCTCTGAAGAAGCATCCCCTCGACAGAGGGAGCCGGTCACTGGCGTGGACACTTCTGCTATAAAATCACTCATTGTCAAAAATTACAGCTTTTTTTTTTTTTTAACTGCTGAAAGCTCTACCCAATACCTTCTTTTTCCAATAGCAGAAAGATTCACTGGGACTTAAGAACACTTAGCTTTTTGCCTACACAAACGGAAGTGGTGATGTTGGAGGAGTTGCTGCAGAGCCTCATTGAAAGGCGGAAGCTGAGCAGGCCAGGAGAGCCAGGGTGGACCTTCCTCCATCACCCTTGTCCAGAGGCCCCGGGGCGCGGGCGGGAGGCCTCCCGCAGTGCTGCTTCCCCAGAGGGCCTTCTGGGTTTCCAAAATGCAAAGTTGGTAAAAAACAAAAACAAACAAAAAAAAAACTTTCTGTGTATCGGCCTCGAAACTCACAAGCCTGCTGTCCGCATTCCAGAGCAGGGGACAGGGGACAGGGCGCGGGACACTGGCCTCCCTGCTTGCTGCCTCTGACACCCCAGGCTTAAGCTACAAGCAATCCTGGTGAATCAACCGCGCTTCAGCCCTCCTCATTTTCAGGACCTCAAACGCCTAGGACCAACCTCATCAGCTCGTTGTTTTTTTTTTCATTCTGACACAAGCAAAGCAATCTGACTAATGCACAGACTAAATTGCAACAAGCCCAACCGAACGAGTCTCCCAAAGCTGCAAGGTTTGGCCAAGCGTCCCTAGCGAGCATCGAAAACCAAGGCTGCCCTACCTGTCCTCGTCGCCGTCCACGGGGATCGCTATGCTGAACACGGAGGCGGCGAGGCTGTTGACGGGCGTCAGCTGCAGCGGGTTGGCCAGGGCGTCTGCGGCGGGAGGCTTCCCGACGGGCTTGTTCTCCGCAGCGAGAGCGAGCGGCGCTTGAGGTAGGGGTTCAGACTTTCTTCTAGTATCGTCAGCTGGCCCGGCCAGGGGCTGGGCTGGAGTCTGAAACTGGCTTAAGTCCGACTGTGGTAGACTCGCGGGGGCGCTGTGCGTGCCAGGCGCCAGGGGCAGCCCCGCGTGCGCCAGGCTGCCCAGCTGCTGCGCCGGGGCCAGAGGCGCGGGGACATTTGGCATAGTAACAGAAGTGGTAGACACACCAGGCACGCTGGGGGCGGGCGCGGCTGCAGGCACGTTGGGAACTCCGGGCACCAAGGCGTGAGGGCCGCCAGGCAGGGCTGCCAGCTGCCCGCTGCCACCCACGGGCGGCGCAGGCACCGACTGGGGCGGCCCCACGCCCCCCAGGGCAGCCTGGGGCCCCGGGCCGAGGGCCAGAGCGTCGCTGGGCTGGCCGGGGGCTCCCAGGAGCGGCGGGCCCACCGACGGGGCGTTGTGGCTGGGGGCCACGGCAAAGGCGGCGGCCGGGGGCTGCGCGGGGCCGGGCGCCTGCAGGCCGCCGCCTACGTGCTGCTGCTGCTGCTGCTGCTGCAGGTACTCGCCGGGGCCCGAGGGCGCCAACACGTGCCCGGCCGCTCGCGGGGCCTGCGGGTACACGAAGGGCTGCGGCGGCGCGGCCGGCGGGGGCTGCGGCTGCTGCGCCACCGCCGGGCCCGGCTGCGGAGGCAAGGCCAGCGCCGCCTGCGCCTGGGCCACATGGGCGCCGGGGCCCGGCGGGGCGCCCTGCGGCTGGCCCGGCAGCGCGGCGGCCACTGCGGCGAACGGCGGAGCCCCGGGCCCGGCTGCGGCCGGCGGGGGCTGCTGCTGCTGCTGCTGCGGCGGCGGGGCGACGCCGAAGGCCGGCGGGCCCGGGGCGGCCTGGCTCGCCTTGTCCGGCGGGGGCAGCGGCTGTGACACAGCAGCCAGCGAGCTGTCAGGGCCCGAGTCGGGCCCGTGCGCGCCCTGCACCGAGGCCACCAGCACCAGCACCGAGCCGCCCGTGGCGCCCAGGCCGCTGTCGCGCTCGGCCGCGGGCTCGGCGGGGCTGCTGTGCCGGATGCAGTCCCCGGAGCGGCTGAGCACGCTGCCGTCCGCGTCCCGCTCGTAGTACTCCATGCACGTCCACCGGCCGCGCCGGTACGGCTCCCCGCTGCCGTGGTCCAGCTTGATGACGCGAAAGCGGGAGCTGCAAGCGGCGGGGGGCGGAGGCGGGGCGCCCGAGATCGGGGGGCCCGAGATCGGGGCCGCAGCCGCCGCCGGGGTGCCCGAGACCGGGGCGGCCGCCGTCACCAGGCTGCTGGCCAGGGCCCCGGCGACGGTGCGCGCCGGCACGGTTCCTCCTCCGTTGGCAGGAGCCGCCGCCGCCGCCGCCGCCGCGGCCAGCTGCCCATCCAGGAGCAGGTTGGGGGACACGGCCCCGGGGGTCTCCGCCTCGCCGACGTTGTTGAGGGTCTCTTCGGAGGAGCTGCGCTCGCACGCCTCTTCGGGCCCGTAGTCGGTGGTGCGGGACACGTCGAAGATCTCGGAGGAGACGTCCTCCGTGCGCGACTCGTCCGGGTCGTCCAGGCTCTCGCTGTCCTCGGTGATGCTGCTGGCCACCTGGGCCGTGGTCACGCTGGTGATCTGGAAGCAGCTCTTCTTCTTGGCCGGCATCTTGGACATGGTGAGGACGAGGCGGGAGGGCGCCGGGGCACGCCGGGCTCCTCGGGGATCCCGCCGGAAGAGGCGGCCAAGGGCAGAGGCGGCGGCTGCACAGCACGGGCTCCCCTCGGCAAAGACACAAAGTCCGGAGCGGACGAGTCACGGGCCGGGGCGGGCGGCGGGCGCTCGCTCAGACATCCTGCTGCCCGCGGTCGGCGGGTGTCCCTCCGGCCGCTCCTGCCTCGCCCCCGGGGCCGCCGCGCTCAGTCGGTCCGCACGCTCCGCAGGCCCGGGTGGGAGTGGGAGGGCGCCGAGGAGCAGCAGCAGCAGCAGCAGCAGCAGGAGGAGGAGGAGGCGGCGGCGTGAGGGGCGGCGCTGCTGCCCCGCTCGGGCTCCTTAGGACGCGGCCGGCGGCAGCGCGGAGCGAAGACGAGGACGAGGAGGAGGAGGAGGAGGAGGAGGAGTGGCGAGGCCGGAGCCCGGAGAGTCCAGATTGCGCTGGGAGCCGCGGGCCGGGGCTGCCTCGAGGTGTGCGGCCGGCCGCCCTCGGAGCCCGGCTCTAGCCGGAGCCCGGCCCCAGGGACATGGTGGCGGAAGCCCGCTCCGGGGCGAGGGGAGGCGGGCTCGGTCCTCCCCGCGCAGGGGGAGCCACCCCCGCGGGCGGCGGGCTCGGCCTCCCTCGCGCCTCTCGGGGAGGAGTGAGGGGCGGCGGCGGCGGTGGCGGCGGGCCGGGCGAGCGCAGGCGCTCCGGCGGGGCTGAGGGAGCGGAGGCTGGCTTCTCGAACTCCTCCTCGGTGCTCCCGGCCGTAAATCCTGGAGAAACTGAAATTCAAACTGCTCAAGCGGCGGCTGCAGCGCCCTCCCCTCGGCCAAGATGGGGCTGAAATGGCCGCGCCAAGGATGCTGGGAGGAGCAGCAGTCCCACCACCGCCGCCGCCGCCGCCGCCGCCGACTAAAATGCCGCCGCTGCCGCAGCTACCGCCAGCGCCGCCGCTCCGTGACGCACCGGCGTCGTGACGTCACCGCCCCGCCCCCTCCGGTTTCCTGCAGCTTCGCGTGGAAGCCGGGGGTGGATGGGCGGAGCTAGAGGCGAACACACACTGGGGGAGCGGTTTTTTTTTTTTTTTTTCTTTCTTTAAAATGTTTTTCATTTAAAATTTCGCTGACGGTTCTTTAAGGGCTGAAGAGCTAAAGACCGTTTGTGAACTCCCGGCGCGGTGAAGCTTGCAGCTCCGCTAATCTCATGATTTTTGTTTGTTCTCTGAGACCCTGGAAGCCCGGAGGTCATGTGCTGTGTGTAAATGTTTAGTGAAATCTTGGTGATAGGAGGGCGATAGCCGTGGGGGCCTCGCAGGGGGGAGAATTAAACGGGATCTAGAGGGATCCCGCTGCAGGAGCCGACTCAGTTAAAAAGTCTCGGAAATAAATGTTGAGCACCACAATCAGGGCAGTGAGATGTTGAGACGAATAAGGATGATTAACCAAGTAAAGCCAGCCAGATTGAGTCAGAAAAAAACGATCCCTCAGCCACTTCTGTCTCCAACAATGGCATCAGCGGAGGGTTTCTGGCCCAGGTTGAAGTCAGTTTTAAGAAAGAATAAGAGTGAACGAACGTAATCCTGATTGTCTTGGATCTGCTGTGATTCCAGACTGAAGAGTTCACGTACGTTCTGGAAACTTTTTACTTTCTGCACAAGTGTGGAACCTGCTGCGTGGAGTAGTTAGAGCGCTTTGTTCTGTTTATTCTGAAGCCCCTGGTTGGAGCCAGGGTGATCCTGGTTTGAGTTGGCCAGGAACAACCCTGAAGGGTTAGTGCCCTTTCCTCGTACAGAGAATAACTGAAAGTACTGGCAGTTTACCATTTTATAGCTCCCCTCCAGCAAAAGAAACTGGGAAGGCCATTCTTTTAAACGAACAGCAACATAACAACAAATGGTGTACTTTCCAACTCTGATATATTAACAAAAAAAAAAAAAAAAAAAAGAAGTCATCATTTGGGTAAAATTTTAGGAAGCCTTCCTAGAAATCAAGATTTTCTAACTACTGCAAATTTAGTAATTACATCATGATAACTTACACAAATCATTGTGTTGTCTGTGGCTTTGCTCAGTGCTTAAGTCTTGGAAGAATAGAACCCCTTCTTATCGGAAAAGATTCTGATAATTAAAAATTAGAGAGGATATGGTTCTGGTTTTCATTGTAAGTAATGCACAGATAAGTCTTTTAGCTTTGTGTGAAACCGTATCCTCGAAACTCAGTGACTGAGGTCAGGCTGTGAAATAAGACCACAGTAATATCCTTGTTTCTGAAGCTGGTGGGAGTGTAAAGGAACAAGGTGTTATATTCTGCTGCCATTGTGGCAGAGAGAGCTAGAGCAGTGTTTCGTTTCCCCTAAATCTGTAACCCCAGCAATTGTTCAGGACAGTTTTCCATCAGTAGGTTAGATGAACTGGCTACATATAAAATGAATGTACAGCAGCTTATTTAATTTTTCATTTATTTACAACATTGCTCAAAGTGCCATTGGCCATGAGACTTTGGGGAAAATATATGTTGTATGCCTACTTTTTTGATTATATTATCTTACTTGTTTTTAAAAGATTTATTTATTTTTATTGGAAAGTCAGATAAACAGGGGAGGAGCGACAGAAAAATCTTCCATCTGCTGGCTTACTCCCCGAGTGGCTACAAAGGCTGGAGCTGAGCTCATCCCAAGCTAGGAGACCTCAGTTTCCTCCAGGTCTCCCACGTGGGTGCAAAAACGCAAGGCTTTGGGCCATCCTCAACGGCTTTCCCAGGCGCAAGCAGGGAGCTGGATGGGAAGTGGAGCAGCTGGGATACGAACTGGTGCCCACGTGAGATCCTGGCACATGTAAGGCAAGGACCTTAGCCACTAGGCTACCATGCCAGGCCCTACATTATCATATTATGGAAACGTTTTGAATATGTGGCATGATATTCTTAAATCACACATTTAAAGGAAAAATCTTGGGTATTTGTAAGGCCATTTCTACTTTAAAATACATGAAGTATTTGTTAGGAAATGAAAGTAAGGATGAAGCTAATTTAGATGAAGTGAAACTCTAAATTTCTGGTAAAGAGGGTGGGTATGTGAAAAGACTTTTTTAAAAAACATTTATTTAATTTTTCATTTATTCACTAGATTGCTCAAAGTGCCATTGGCTATGAGACTTTTGGAAAAATATATGCTATATGCCTAACTTTTCCAACTATATTATTTATTTTTTAAGGTTTATTTATTTTTATTGGAAAGTCAGATATACAGAGAGGAGGAGAGACAGACAGGAGGATATTTGGTCCACTGGTTCACTCCCCAAGTGGCTGCAACTGAGCCTATCTGAAGCCATGAACCAGGAGCCTCTTCCAAGTCTCCCATGTGGGTGCAGGGTCCCAAGGCCTGGGCCATCCTCTTCTGCTTTCCCAGGCCACAAGCAGGAAGCTGTATGAGAAACGGGGTTGCCAGGATTAGAATCAGCCCCCATATGGGATCCCGGAGTGTGCAAGGTGAGGACTTTAGCCACTAGGTTATTGCGCCAGCCCATGAAAAGACATTTTAGGAATAGCATTTATAAGATTAAAAAGTTCCTGGGCCTAGTGTGATGACTAAAGTATAAAAATGACTAAATTATAAAAATCCTCATTGTTACATATAAGTGTGAAATCATTGTTCAGAGAAGGTGAAAAATGGCACAACACTCCTTACAGCATTAAAAGCTATGTATGTCATTCACAGTTGGCTTGCGAAGAGTTAAAAGTCTTTCAATGAAAGGACAGGAAGCAGGATGTTCACACTGGTCCGTGTGTGCTCTGTGTGGCAGAGCTGCTAATAAGCAATATGGTCACCTCACTGCAGGAACTAGGGAAATCCCCGCAGGTTCGTGGGGCTCCATCCTGGCACCCCAACACGGAGTTTGTGGGACTCCTTTATCACTGCTGCCCGGAGCTTCCACCTTGTCCTAACACTTGCTGCTTCCTTCGAAGACTTCTTCCAACTGTGTATGGAATCTTACTGGGAGTGGGGACGGGAGAGCCACTTCAAAACTAACAACTATTTCCAGTGTTGAAAAAAAAAAAAAACACAGCGATGACAGCAAGACGTTCTCATTTGTAAACATCATACCCTCAAATTCTACTAGATTATTATATAATGGTATTGGTACCAGATGGTGAATTATTTCATAATCACAAGCTCCTAGAATGTTATCTGCAAATATTCAAAAAAAAACTGACTTTTTATTTGCCATGAATGCGTATTATATTTAACATAAGGAAACATTTTGGATAGAAAAAAAAAAAGTACTTTAGTTAAAATTAAGCAGCGTCCTGGAGCAGGCATTTAACTCAAAAATTAACACACTGCTTGGGATGGCTGCAGCCTGTAGCGGTGTGCCTGGAGCTGAGTCCTGTCTCCTCTTGAAGACCAGCTTCCTGGGAATGGATGCCCCGGGAGGCAAGGTGGCCTAAGTGCTTGTGCCCTGTCTAATGTGTGAGATTCCTGTCTTGAGTGCCTGGTTCCTGGCCTCTAGCTGGCCCAACGGTGGCTGTTGCAGCCGTTTGGGAAGTGAACCAGCGGATAAGTGATTTCTGTCTGTCTTTATGTCCTTATCTTTAAAGCAGCAGCCACTTAGCACCAATGCTATTAGCCAGTCAGTGACATCTATTGAACATTCCTTGAGTGTATTAGGAATTGAACAGCATATATCTGGGCCAATAAATTCTCTGGAATTTAGAAATTGTTTATGTTGGTCCTGGTACAGTTGTCTAGTGGCTAAAGTCCTCACCTTGAACGCACTGGGATCCCATATGGGTGCTGTTTCTAATCCTGGTGGCCCCACCTCCCATCCAGCTCCCTGCTTGTGGCCTGGGAAAGCAGAAGAGGATGGCCCAAAGCCTTGGGACCCTGTACCTGCGTGGGAGACCTGGAAGAGCTCCTGGTTCCTGTCTTCATATTGGAGCAGCACCAGCCGTTGCAGTCACTTGGGGAGTGAATCATTGGAGGAAGATCTTCCTCTCTGTCTCTCCTCCTCTCTGTATATCCCACTTTGCAATAAAACAAACAAACAAACAAATAAATAAATCTTTTTTAAAAAATTGTTTATGTTTATTTTCTGTTTTCATTATCAAACTGCCACAGGGGCCAAATCAGCCTTATGGCTAAATTCTCACTTTGCAAGCGACAGGATCCCATATGGGTGTCCTTTCATGTTCCGGCTGCTCTACTTCCCATCCAGCTCCCTGCAGGTGGCCTGGGAAAGCATTAAAGGATGGGGCAAAGCCTTGGGACCCTGCACCAACGTGGGAGACCTGCAAGAGGCTCCAGGTTCCTGGCTTCAGATGGACTCAGCTTTGGCATTTGTACTCATTTGGGGAGTGAACCAGTGGACCAAAGGTTTTTCTCTCTCTCTCTGTCCTTCTCTCTGTAGATCTGCTTTTCCAATTTAAAAAAAAAATTAATAAAACTTAAAAAAAATAGAACTGTCAGAAAAAGGCAAAATGGAGTCATTTTTAGTGCCCACAAAGCATTTGCTGGAAATAAATATCAGTGGTCTAAACAAGTAGCCTTTGATTTATGACTATGATTTTCATGGGGTTTCATTTCTGGAACAATATCATATTAAAACCATTGTGCAAAAATATT